CCCCAAAACCCCAAAACCCCAAAACCCCAAAACCCCAAAGTTTTAGCATATAAAATTAAATAAAATGGCTGATAAGATTGTATTGTAAGTTATTACGATTTCTGTATGTAAAAACCACACTTCGGATTCTACTTTCGGAAGGAATATTTTCATTGGAAAGCATTTTAATTTTCAGTATAAAAAAATCATTTTTACACAAAATTACGAAATTTTCAGAAAAAATCAGTTGATTTATTTATAGAAACTCTGATCTAAAATTACCTTCAATTCCTTTGAAGCTATTCAGAAATCTCAAAAACTCAAGCACACCCCATAGCCCAACTTCATCTCTAAGTCCTTCTCCTCGGCTGAAATCGAAGTAATTTTCTTCCTAACTCCAGCTCATACTCTACTTGGTTCAAATAAAAGATGCAAACAGACATGTAAGCCTAGAATTCAACTCAAACATATCCTATTTTAACCAAAGACCACTTATTTCTCATAAAATCCTTCATTCTCATCAATAAACACGTCCTAATCTCTCTAAGACCACTCTTTTCTTTATTTTAGGCAAGGAACAATATCTAAAATCAGAAGTAGAGATTAGACAAAACAAGGAAATTGAGAATATTTTCAACACTTTTGATCGAGATGGCTCAGGTAGAAATTCGGAATGAGGTATAGGAAGTCTGGACATGGGTGAAATACATGAACTTTTTAATAGCAATGGCATTGAGGTCAGCTTGTAAGTAGCAGCTTAAATATTCTTGGAGTTGAGTTATTTGGTCTTTGTATTAGTGCCCAAGTCAGACAAATCTTCGAAGTCGTGGACAGAGATGGCTCAGGCAGCCTCACTAGAGAAGAGTTTGTAGAAGCAGCCAAAAGTGAGCAGATGAGGGATAGGTTTGTAGAGGTCATGAGACGTCTCAGAGAAGAGAGAAGGAGGTAAGAGTTGGAAGTTGGAAATTTAGTCAGAGGGATAAGAAAGAGAGTGATAAGTACATACCGGTTCGACTTGAAGATATGCTACAGTACTTGTCGATGAATATTAAGAGGAGTAATTTGTTACAAAGCATCTCTGAGTCACATATGAGGAGTGGGGAAATGTGCAGAAATAAGGCAAAGATGGATTATAATGCATTCTTGACCTTGTTTGAAGAGAGAAAATCAGCAAATATGATTACCACAAAATAAGCCATCAATCTTCAGAAGAGAAGATCAGCAATCCTTATAGTGAAGGTAAGTTGTTGCTCACCTTTAGTTTGTTCAAATTCTTCCTTGATTTCCAAATCTTCTACAGTAAAGATTCGAACGAGAAGAATGAACGATAGGATTTCAGCAGCTCTTCAGTATAAACGGTAAGCTATTCAAACGAGTTTTGTAGATATGTTGGAAAATTATTGACCCAAAAGAATAATTTAAGTCTTTACAATATTAAACAAGTCACTAAAGCGAACTATTCACAACAACTCGCCTCCCCTATCCTTGAAAGTCCAGAAGCTCCAGCTTATAGATCTATGTCTCGAGAGAAAATAACTCTTAGTGAAATAAAGTACACCATACTTTCACCTTTTCTAGACTCCCTTCCAGCAACTTCGGCCTCAGTTCACTAAAATCCCTCAAAAACAGCTACAAAAATCTCCAAAACCCTAAAAACTACACATCACTTAAATAATTACCTAATTTTCAATAAATTTCACAAAACTCGGGGTTTTGGGGTTTTGGGGTTTTGGGGTTTTGGGG